TCTATCTATCTATCTATCTATCTATCTATCTATCTATCTATCTATCTATCTATCTATCTATCTATCTATCTATCTATCTATCTATCTATCTATCTAGCTACTGTAGATTTAAACCTATATTTTCTCATTTTTCCAATATAAAAAAAAAATCTTAAATTGTTGCTAAAAGATTTCATCAGTCTAATGAGAGTATTTCCCTCTCATCGTTTTGCCACGTGTCTTCCCCTCCTCGTTCTCTGTTTCCACTGTTAACTCAATCACACAGCATGTGGGAATCTATTTTGATGCAAACATCAATTAGAGCCCTCACCGTGGACATGGAGCAGTGGTCCAGGGTCTCATCAGCAAACAGCACGGTGTCTTTAATGAAGACGGCACTGGCTCTCAGGATGAAGGAGGCGAACAGGTTGATGTGGATGTAGTTTCTGGTGCAGCGGAACTTCCTGCGTAACAATAGCGTAAAGCATACACTGCATGTAAATTAATATTTCATAAGGCGGAAGAAGAAGGTAAACAACTTCATGAATTTGCATGTGTAAGATGATTCATAATCCTCTGTACTACAAAGGCTCTTTGAGGCTTTATCATCTGAATATATGCATATTTTCCTAAAATTATAAGATGCTGTCCTAACCACACAAATCCTGAATGTGTCTGCATCACAGAAATTTCCCCTTTTATTGGCCTTTTGTGGGTGCAGATGGTGGTGTGTGCCGCTCTGGTCTAACCTGAAGGCTGCGAACACCACGATGGCTGTAATGAGGGAGATGAGTGACGTGGCGTAGCCTACGGTGTAAACCTGTCTGAAGGTATAAAGGTAACTCGTCTGGAGACAGGAAAACAGAGAAACCGTTAGTTTAGAAAAATATCAAAATAAAAGTCTGAAGCTGTGAGTCTGACTCAGATTGCTGCAACTTCAAGGGTTCTTTCTTTATAAGATTCATGAATGAATAATAATTTGTTTAAGCTTTAGATAGAAAAAGCAGTAATTATGCTGAAACACTGAAAAAGATGTACTTTTAACTGTGTGGTTAATTAAATATATAAACAATTTCAGGACCTGTAATTTCCCTTGAGTTGTTTACATTTATTCCTGGAACAAAGGTCCTCACAGCTAACTACAAATAGGTCTGACATAAAAAGGAAACAGCGATAGAGGAAGCAGAAACAATATGTTCATCCTTCATTGACTGGCATGATTACAACCACATGTCCGTATACCTCGGACTCAGGCTCGCTGTCATCGCTGAACGCGCAGGCCTCCTCATAGGGTGGATACATTTCCGACCAACCGTCAGCAGTACAGTTCCTGTAAACATACCCTAATGTGGGGAATCCAAAGAGAGAACGCAAGGAGACAGTTAATTTCAAGTGTTTCAATCGCACAAATATATGAATGTTGTTCTTTTATTATTTTTTGTGCCCTTCCTGACACAACCCCAAAAGGATTGGTGTTTCCTTCCAGGAATAAACCGGAGGTCTTTTTGTTTGCAAGGGGAATGTGCAAACCACTTGGAGCCACTTTTTCAGTCTCAAGAATGAAAGCGGCAATTTCAGTTCAGTTTATGGGTCGCATAACCACTGCATGGGAACCTGTAAATAACACCTTCAAATTGTTTCTTTCTTATAAAGACATATAACTACCTGCTGAAAATGTTCACATGTAATGCACCATGCATTTGCAAAACATGGTGATGAACACCCTGAGATCTCAACAATGTTCAGTCAGTCTCCTGACCATGAGCTTTCAACACGATGCTTGGGTGAAACTGCTAAATGCCCTCTTTCTCTACAATTTTGGCACTTTTCAAATCCCTCCAGTGGGACAGTCTGATGGGCTAGTTCTGACCTACAGGCTGTTTGTTTGAGAGCCCGGGTTTAGAAGCTCAGTGAACCTTTTTGTTACACCAAGTGTCCTTTTCTGTCTTGGTTTTTAGTCTTTTCATACATTTTACAACACAACTGACTGACAATACGAGCTATTTTAAATCTACCTGAATTAAAATGTGTTATTCGGATCCCTTTTTGTTGTGAAATGCTGTTGAAATTACACTCTGGCTCCTTTGGTCGAGTTTAACTTTTAGGATTTTTGAAAAGTGAAGAAAAAGGTGTTGTATGAAACCTACTGAAACCTACTGAAACTCTGCAGGTATATTTTCCTTTTTAACTTCAGGGCTAATAACTGCTACACCATTATCATCTTTTAATTTCTTTTTCTCCATTATATTTGAAGCAAATCCTCTACTCAGTCTATTGAAGCTCACTTTGGTCTCTTCCAACCTCTTTTGGAAATATCTGGTCCTTTATTGTCTAAAGTCTCCACTGTGCTTTCTTCTGACAATATATCTGTTGTTCAGCACAAAGCAGCAGTTTACAGTGATTTTTGACTAACGACACCAAAAGCAACACTGTGAGATGGAACAGAAGTTGCTGGCTGGACAGTTAAACAATATGCAGAACCTCATCCATAATCTCAGGGCAGCCTATTTTCACACTGCAGCAGTTTTTTCACATAAACATATCGAAGAGACGTACTTTAAGTAAATGATATGCTTCCCAGCAGCTGTGTAAAGGGGGAAAAAATACGAATATTTAGAAATTTGCAAAATGCTTGTGAAACCATGAGTTGATTAATTCCTTTGTAATTAAATATTGAACCATAATTGCTTTACAAATCAATCAAAGCAATTTTCCTGTAGACTCCTGGTGGAGCATAGGGCCACAACAACACCACGCCAACGGACTCTGTTCTGGGCCGTTCTCTTCAGCTGGGTCCACGTCATTCCGGCGGCCTTCACTTCGCTCTCGACAGATCTTCTCCACGTCTGTTTGGGTCTGCCCACTTTCCTTTTTCCTTGTGGGTTCCAGTCCAGTGTTTGCTTTGTGACGTTGTCGATTGGTTTTCGAAGTGTGTGGCCTATCCAGCCCCATTTTCTCTTCTTGATGTCTTGACCGGCCGGGTTCTGGCTGGTTCTCTTACACAGGTCTGTGTTCGAGATCTTCTCAGGCCATCTGATGTTGAGGATGTGTCGAAAGCACTTGTTGATGAAAAGCTTACTCGGCTCGCTGAGGAGGCAGAAAAGACTGGCCTGAAGATCAACGTCAGAAAAACAGAGATGTTGCGGCTGAACAACCGACAAGAACATCCACAGCAGCTACAGGGAAAAGACTTGGTGGAAATTGACTGCTTCATCTACCTAGGAAGCATAGTCAACAGTGATGGTGGCGCAGATGAAGACAGATCAACAAAGCAAGGCTTGCATTCAACACCCTGCGACCCATCTGGAACTCCAAAGCCTTATCTCAGCACATCTTCAACACTAATGTGAAAGCAGTCCTCCTGTATGGGTCCGAGATGTGGCGGGTGACCAACACCACTACCAGCAAGATCCAGATTTTCATCAACAATTGCTTTACACGCCTTGTTTTAACCTACAAGCTTTAAGTCATCATTCCGGTACACTTGCACCAGTATTTCTTCTCTGAGACTATTTCAGTCCATCGTGCTTTGAGTCAAAAAACATTTTATTCTTTCATGTCCACTGACGTCTGCTTTTGGTTAAAGTTCATTTGGATACAGCGGGTGACAGGAGAAATTCATCTGGTATTTGTGGGACTGTGTATTTAAATATCTTTGCCAGAGATAGCGCATAGGTAATAGCAGAATTGCTGTTTAGCAGAACAAAGATGCATAAAAATACATGACAGGAGGATTTTTTTCTTTGTTCGTTATTTCCTCTGAGCAAACAGAAACCGACTGGAGTCCAAATGCTGCAAACTGTGCAGCTGAAAGCAAAGCCTCTTGTTTGTTTGGGTGATCAGCAATTCAGATCATAATGAGCCGTTATTTCCATCAAGGTAAAGGAGGAAAGAGCATTACTCGTTAATTAATGTGGCTTTCCCTCCTCTAATGGTCCTGTAACAATACAACAGACCAATATTGCTGTCTGTGTGCGTCATTTTAAACGTTTACTTGTTGTCCTATAAGGACCAGTTTAATAGTCGCAAAACATGTAATTGTTTTAACCAAAGAAAAAGCTAATAAAAATCTTAATGTGGATATATGTGCATTATTTACACACGTATGTGTAAATATAAAAATTGCTAAATGCAAAAGCTCATTATTAAGAAAGAATTTATTTCTGATGGTGTCACAAGGACTTTCTTTGAGGAGACAGCAGCCGAAAAGGATGTCAAATTGTGATGAATGAACCCTGCAGACAAGATTTCAAACCACTTCTGCCAAAAACATCCTAGAGCATATTATATATATATGTGTGTGTGTGTATTATATGTGTGTGTGTGTGTGTGTGTGTGCGTGCGTGTGGTGGTGTGTGCGTGTGTGGTGTGTGTGTGTGTGTTGTGATTCTTGCCAACAAACATACATGAATACATGCTATGATTCTCCAGCATTGACTCCAGCCTGCTTTAGCTCTGCTGATTATCCAGCAGAGCTAAAGCTAATACTGGTGCGACAGCACAGCATCCAAGAATCGGATTTTTATATTATATTATTTTAACAATGCTGGTGATCAGATGATTTGGCTATGAGGATCTGTGCTTTTCTGTGTTCTGTGAGGCTGGTGCAGGAACCAACCTTGATTGCTGGAGAAATGCTGGAAGACTTCAGAGCAGGACAAATTGACCACCTGCCCAACCTCAGCTCGCAGCCAGCACCCGATCTCATCCCATTCTGTTTTACATCCTGCAAACAGAGACAGAGGGAGAAGCAGCAGAAAGTTATTAATAACACTGTCACAATGCTGACAGTATAGACACTCAGGTGCTCAAGATTTAGTGCAAAATCCAGCTGCAAAGCTGAACATCTCTTTTGTCAAGCTTTAGTTAGAATAACTCTACTTCCACAAACCGCATCCTAAAAGTTTGTACTTATATTTTAAACTTCATAGGTAATTAGAACAGGTTAAATTCACTAAATTTATGCAAACATTTACAGCTTTACTTAGTGGCTTTCCCAATTGCAATTTTTACAAAATGTACAGTACTGTTCAAAAGTCTTAAGCTACCCCTCATATGTTTACAAATGGGAAATAGGTGCAGCCTTGCTTATATTGCAAGGTGAAGATCCCAACAATCAGTCAGCCCCTTATGAACAAGCACAAGCGTCAATGGGAAGGAAAAACTCCCTTTTAACAGGAAGAAACCAGCAGAACCAGCCTCAGGGAGGGGCAGTTTTATCAAGTTTATAAAGTTTTATGAAAAAAGAAAAGTTTTAAGTCTAATCTTAAATGAAATGTGGCTTGAGATTTGTATAACTTAACTATTAAAACATGACTATTCTGAATGTTACTTGAGTATATTTTCAATGCTGGACTTTTAATTAATTAGCTTCAGCTGATTAGCTCTGCCAATCTGTCACACCAATCTGGAAAAATAGCAACGAATCACTATTCCATTCTCTCTCGTCTTCAGGGCTCAGACTGTGAAACAGGAAGCAAACTTTGTTTTGAGTCTGAAAACCTTCTCGTGTTTTCTGATAGTGTGTGTGTGAGTGTGTGTATGTTTGTGTGTTTAGTCCCCATTGCTGCATTTGATCACAAATACCTCCACAACTATTAAACTGACATTACAGTTTGTTTCAGACATTTTTGTGCCATTCAGGATGATTTGCAATTACTGTGATGATCCCCTCGCCATCAATCACAATCATTATGTTTCAAAGTTATTGTCATACGCACAGCAGAGAAAGATGTTTCCCTGTACAATGAAATGTATGCTTTACTGTCAACAACAGATGTCAAACAGAACAATCCACATATAAAATAGATAAGTAAAAGAAATAATCATTTAAAAACTTTTTTTTGAGAAATACAGTAGAAATACTAGATATGTAAATAATATATTTACATTTGGAAAAAGAATCTGAGCTCCAATAAGCTATGTAGATATTACGCTATATGCTACATCAGTGTTTGCATTATCTCTGTTAAAGTACCAACATTATCTGGTGTCTTTATGTGCACCACGAAGGAAAAATGAGATCTAATGCTTTTCAGTCGTCCGTCAACAGCCTCAGCATCTCGCATGTTTATGAAAGACTGAGTACATCTCAAAAAGCCCTGAACTCCAGCAATGTTATGAAGAGTTCCCTGCAGCGTGACATACATCCTGCTGTTTTATTTATGAAGAACGGAGCAGACGCATTTAAACCTCAGGCCTTCATGTGCAAACACAGTACATTCAGGTGACCTGATTGCCAAGTCACGTATTCACTCTCGTATAATTAAAATTGGGTATTTATATTAATCCTGACCTAATAAATCCAAAGTGATGCATAACACCAGCTGACAAGTCCCGTCCACAGTCTTGTAGCTGTGATTGGCCCACATTAAAAGCTTTCACTTTTTTTTTCATCAACTACATTCTATATAAACCGCGGATTACTCGCCGGTGTATAACAGACTAATTCATTTTTCACTGAGTTGACAGATTTGACAGGAGAAAGTGGATGATTGGATGGAGTAGCTTGTCTGATCAATTTTAATTGTGCTGATAAACGGAGCGTGTACTGCACCAAATATCTGCAGTAATCTCAGATAAATGTCAACAGCAGTGATGAATTAAAAAGGCAATGTAAGCAGATATTTTTCTTCATTTACCTCAAAGGCTGAGGTGAGATCAAAATAAATGTCAAATACATTTTAAGCAGGAAATCTCTTCTCTGAAAAAAAGGAAAAAAGTATCAAATCCTCAGGCACCATAAACTTCGAGGAACATAAAACAGTTTCGGAGGCTAGAGTGATTTCTGAGTAAAACATAAACACAGCCCGCCTGCATCTGAAATGGAGATTACTGCTCTGCACTCGGCAGGATGTTGGTGAGGCAAATTTTGTCCTAGTGCTGCCATTCATTTGATTGTATTTGTGACCCTTAATGTAATAAATACTTTCTTAACTGGTGACTGAAAAAGGGAAAAGTGTACCAGAGGCTGTATGTGAGAAAATAAGCAGTAAGTCACTTAAGATATAATTTTTTATTGCCAAATCTCCAAGGTGCTCTACTTTCTCAAATCTGGTGACTCATTTCAGTGAGCTTGTTCAGTTTGGGGTTTCATGTTCTTTCCTAGAATTGCACTTTATGATAACCTAGATATATAAAAAGTAATATAGCACATGATGTAGGTCCGATGGCCTTAAGATACCATTTGAGGTGCAGACAGATTGACCTTATGTCCACTTGTGAGTGGGTTCTTCAAAATAATACCTTTTCAGGACAAACTAAGTCAGGAAAAGATGACAGCTATGGATGCATGTTTTCCATCTACTGTACATATCTGTTATTAGGAAAATGGCAGAAACTTAACATTTTCCAAACAAAAAACTGTGCGGTGCAGAAGACACAACGATGATATGTTTGTATTTGTCAGGCACAGAAAAACCCTGAATGAAAATCTAAAGTTCAGCTTGGATTATTACCTACAGGCCATTAACTTTTTGGATGGATTTCAGAGGACAACGAAGGATGCCTGCAAACCTAAATCATCAGAAATAGGACTATCCGAAACCCCATGTAACATGCAGACAGTTTTCATTACCTTCTCATTGAGAAAATCTCTTTTAGGATGTGAGACTGAGACATTCTGATCAGGACTCCAGAATCCAGTCTATGAGCAGCATTTCGCACAGATATAAATCTCAGGTGTTCACACTGGCTCATAACAAAGTTTTATAACTCGAGAGAAGCAAATTGATCAGCTCTAAACCAAAGCAAGAGCAAGCTCATAGACCTTACTTTGCCGCATGCTACAGCATCAAAAAGATTAGAAAGAAAAAAAGGGAAACTGCTGAGAGTAATAATACTTTATGAGAGATTTTTACTGAACTCCCAGGAATCCGCTTCAGACGCACGGCAACAATCAAGGACAAACTAGTCTGGGGGCCTCTTTCTGCTCCAAACCAGAAAATTGGAAGTTGTTGTTGTGGTAATTGCAATTAATGTGAGAACCTGATGAAAACTGACAATTTTAAAGATGTGTTTATTATTAAAATCTGCCCTAGCACCAACCAGTTTACAAAATGCTGATTAGTTTATTCTTAGTTTGTTCCCAGAGTCTCTCAGTTCTCCCTGGATGACTCCATCAGGGTTTGTTTTGTGCCTGTTTGTTTTTGTTAGTGTCCATAGGCGGGACCCATTTAAAAACACGGTAAAAAAACAAAAAGATGATCCAAAATCAGGTCATTTAAAAAGGTAAAATAAGACGTGGGAGCAGTATCTGGGGAGTGTTCGTGTTGCCTCAGTGGCCACGCCCTCGGGTTGGACCATCAGCATCACACCTGTATTCCATCCCAGGCAGCAGGGCTATTTCACCCAACGCGGACAGCTGATCCACCCCAGTCCGTTAGTCATTCTTGGTAATAACTTGGGTCTCCTAAGCTCTGAGTTTTTCAGGCATTTTGTTACCTGTGTTAATATTACGCCCTCCTGCCTGTTCTGCGTGCAAGAGAACTCCCTCGGTCTCCGTCTTTCCCTGCTAGGATTTTCCCACGGACACTCTCCCCTCCGAGCCCCACGGTCTGACTCTGATTATAAGCCGCAGCATTCTAATTCTTCTTTAGTTTTGACTCTCCGTTCTCCTGCACCCGAGTAATTATTTCCCCTTTCTGTTGCATCTTCCCACGATCCCGATCACAGCTTCCCAGGGCATTTCAGTTCCCGGTTTCCTCAGCTTGAGTTATATTCTCGTTCCCTTGGATGTTCCTGGACATTTATGTTAAAGAAATAAATCTGTACATAGTTCCCGTGAATTTTGTATTGAGTTTGCCTTTGGGTCCCATCTGTGAGTGTAAACCTTGGTTCCTGACAGTTTAATCCATTTAAAATATTTCCCTAGCTGGGCCCGCGTCCCCATTTTAGCATTTTTTAGTAGATAAAGGCGAATGGCTTAAACATGAATTGAGCTGCAGTTCGGGGAAGTCCTCTGAGGGGACTTGCGGCAGCTCCCGGGCCTGGCAGATCCCCATGTGCTAATGAGAAGTGAAAGAACTGAAAAACGGAGGGTGGGGCATGAAAACGAGAACGAACAGCTTGTAGAACTGAGTGGTCATATATAGATGAGAACCGGAAGGGGCGTGTTCAGAGGCGTGGTCACACTCCTGAAATTCAGATAATTTATCTCCAAGTAAACTTTTCCTTATTTTTCCCACCTTTGTGATTTCAGGTAACAAGCAGGCGGAAACAGTACGGCAGCCTGTGGGATTACATCAGAGAACAGTTGAGAAAAAAGAAACCAGTGTATGATAGAAAGCTACTGAATTATGTAAAAGTGACAAAGGGCAGCAAAGATGTATGTAGAGAAACCGATGAAGCTAATGAGATTTCTACACGTACAGAAACAATCGCTTGTTTCTAAAGGTTATTATGTATCAATAGAAACATATTTTTACCTATTACAAGAGCAGAACTGAAAATTATTATGCTCATTAAAGAAGCATTACAAATTATCCTGTTGACTAGACTATCAACATCCTTTTTCTCCCTCCTGCCTTATCTCCCCCCCTTCTTCCTCCCTGTCCTCCTCCATATGTCCCTTCATCCCTCACTCCCTCCATCTTCTTCTTTATCTACTCATTGTGTTCTTAATGTTAATGTTGCTCATTTTTAAAAGAATTGTGTATATTTATTGCATTTTGCTTGATGGTTGTGTGATTTCTGCTGACTGTACAACAAATTGCCGTTTAAGGACAA